TGAAATGTGGGGAAAGGGGACAATCAAAGGGTACAAAGTTTCAGTTAGACAGGAAGAATATGTTTTTTTTTTGGCCAGATTTTTTAAAACCTAGTTTATTTCCTCAAAGCACTGATGTAGGCTTGACACGAAAGACAAAAGACAGAAGGCTACCACTGTCAGTAGGTATAGCAGTTGGTGTAGTTTGACATGTTCAGTAGAAGATGAAGGCATTTTTGGAAAAAGCTATATAGTTACCAAAAGATGTAATGACTTCTGCAAAGACTGTAACTTCTACATATAAACAAGCACTGATGAATAATGATGCTTGGAAACATAAAGGGATTTCGATCTTATTAAATTAAGCAGGGACAGATATCTTACAATTTATGTGCACTCTTTGCCTTTCAAAGCCCAATGTAGGGCTGACCCCGTGGCGTACTCGGGAGAGTGTGGCGCTGGGAGCGCAGCGACGCTCCCGCCACGGGTTTAGATCCTATAAAGGAATGGCTGGTGAGCTCACTGGCTGAGCGCGGTGCGGGCGACACCAAGCCAAGGGTTGCGATCCCCTTACCAGTCACACACACAAAAAAAAAGCCCAATGTATAAGTAATGTGTAAGTACTTTATGCTATGGTGATAGCTAAAAACAGGAATTTCTTTGACAATAGTATCTATTCATACACAACTAGGAAGTTTCAAGAATATTAGCCAAACCTAACATTTACAAATTGTATTATTTTCATCTACTCTTCGCTGGGTTTATTACTTATCAGATGATCTTGATATCTGAAAAAAGAGAGAAGCATTTCATGTAGGAGGAATAATCTTTAATGATCCATTACACAAAATGGTGACTATAATAAATAATCATTGTATATTTCAAAATAGCTAAAAGAATAGATTTTAAATGTATTCACCACAAAAAAGTAAGTATGTGTATTAACCCATTTTCTGTTGTTTATAACAGAATACTAAAAACTGGGTAATTTATAAGAAAATGAAATTGCATTCTTTCAGCACTGCCTATATGCATGAAGAAACATGTAAAATTAGCACCACAAAATGGATAATTGCAGATCATAGATGATTAAGGAGTAACTATTTGTAAATTGTACATCTCACCTCTGTTGCTTTTCGGTGGCCCTTCCCCAGCTTTTTTTTTTTTTTTTCCTTTTTCTTTTTTGTGACTGGTAAGGGGATTGCAACCCTTGGCTTGGTGTCACCTGTACCGCGCTCAGCCAGTGAAACGCACCAGCCATCCCTGTATAGGATGTGAACCCTCGACGGGAGCGCCGCTGCACTCCCAGCGCGGCACTCTCTCGAGTGAGCCACGGGGCTGTCCCCTTCTCCAGCTTTTTCTTCAGACTGGACTGTGTTCAATATGCTGGTCAATGGAAAC